ATTAATATCTTACAGATTCGTACACACATTTGCACTTTGTTGTTTCTAATGAGAGAATTAGCCAGAAAGAGGTATTCAGTCAGTGAGCGAGCGAGTGAAGAAAACACCGGCATTTTAGCGATGACTCATCTGAGCACCTCTGATTGGTTTTTGCATTCATAAGCTCAACAGCATCGTGTGTGATTGGTCATAATGCGCAGTGCTGTAAAAACGCCAGCTAGCGAACGCAGATTTGAATTTTAGCAGCTGATGATATGACGCGCTGAACGATTTAACCATGCTGGTGTTATTGTATCAAATATAGAAAATATTATTCTGCTATTTTTTGTCTTTTGGAAGCTACATTCAAAATCCCCTTGGCTCAAAAATCTGAATGGGCATGACGCCTCTGAATGAAATATATTTAAGCTAGTTGCCAAAGCAACATTTCTCATTTTCATTTAGTATAAGTTAAAAGTACTAGAGCAACTAAAACTAAATAAACTAAAACAGTAAAAACTATATAGACATAATAAAAAAATAAACTAATTAAAATGGCAAAAACACAACAAACAAACAACTTAAACTATAACTAAAATTAAAATGAAAAGAGAAAATATAAAAATAAAAACATTCAAAATATTAACAAAAACTATATTAGTATATCAATGATACTAAAATAAGACTGGTTCAGACAAATAAAGGGTGAATGTACTGTAAGTACACACACACACACACACAACATGTACAATTACAGGGCAGATCCTGCACTGTGGGACAGGAATGGCAGAGCTTTGGCACTGCAGAGAATTTCCTGTGGCAGTGAAGACGCATCCATGCGCTGGAACATCGGTGCATGTTTCTGCAAGACAACATTAGATGGTCAGCACAATCTCTCCAGTGACACAGAGATCCAGTAAACCGAAAAACAGTACATCTTTCCAGCTTTAGGACGTTTACACTTCAAACTGAGATATGAAGGTTTTTCTGTTATGTGTCTTCAGTAAAATGAACAGCATTCTATACAGTTAGAAAAACAGCACTCCATACTGTTAGATGGCAATTTTGCATATATAAGCTGATTAAACAGGCGGGAGGTTGTGAGTTAACTAGTCTTTAGCTCTGAAGTTCTAGTGCTTTAGAAGGTAAAAGATATCTTTACCTGTTCCTCAAGCTGTTGACGGAGCTTCTTAGCTTTGTTCTGCTTGTAGTAGTCCATGATCATCATGGCTGCATAAATCTTCCCAATGGTCATGTCACTAGCTGGAAGAAAGATTTGTTTGTTGTAGAAAACTAAGATTTCTATGCCGGCTGCAAATTACACTCACTTTCAGGGGAGTCAGTGGGCACAACAATGGTACCACAAGCTAAACTGTCAAGAGCAAGGTGAATAATACTCGAAAAATTAATAAAATAACACACTATTAAAACTTTAAGAAAAAAAAAATTATCATTCAGATCTCTCACCTTTGTGGACGGGTACAAACAGATCAAGAGATTTCTGGGAGAGGTGTGGCCAGATGACACTGATTTCCTTCTGCAATTCTATGTCCATCTGACCCCTGTCCTCACCCCCTGTTACACAAAGACCATTTAACTAATATTATTGTGAAAAAAAAGACAAACCAGTGGAAGTTTGATTTTTACAAAACTGAAAATGATTAATGGTGCCAACCTCGAGCGATTTTAATGTCCAGCGCAGTGCGTATCAGGGCCATAAGTGTGGAGGTGAAGTGGACGGACATGTCCTCATCCACTGGCATGTTCATCAGAACCAACCGCTGAGAGAAAGTCACCATAAGGACAGAAGACAATTGAAATACAAGGATTGCAAAGCTAAGGAGAGAGCATGTTTTTAAAATAGTAATCTAATGGTCATCTAGGTTTAGTTGTCTTTTAACTTCTACAGTTAACACCAAGAAGATGTCACAACATCACTCATTCATGCACATAGTTGAAACACGTATACTGGATAGAGACAGAGTAGAGATTTATGCATAGAAATTGGAAAAGGATCACACTTTATGAATATGCCCTTTGCAATATGTCTTTAACACTGGAATAAATGTCAGGGTAATGACAGTGTTTTGAAGATGTTAAGGTGACATATTCAAATAAAGTATAATTGGTGGATGTACAGGGACTTTACAGTAGGATGATTAAGAGACAATGACAAAAAATAACATCACTGATCGTCTACAAATAATCATATAGATCAGGGCTCCAGACAAAAAAATCGAGTAAGGAGCCATTGGCTCCTATATGAAAAAAACTTAGGCGCCAAATAATTTTTTTAGGTGCCACAGAATAAACGTGTTTTTTAAAATTTATTATTATTATTATTATTAATTTTTTTACATTTTAATATTTCAATCATACTGTCATGTGTTTATGTCTCATCTTTTCTTGACTTTATCAGCATTTTAATCCATCTTGTAGATGACCTGGGAACTAAGGTTCACTTAAAATGGGAACTAAATGTCTTTTCCAACTTGAAATATACAGTCACGCATTGTTTATTACACAGAATCTGTACCAATATCATGGACCATAAGCATCACTTGGCCACTGAGTGTAGTTTGGGCTCCTCCTTAATGCATCCTGTAAATGTTGTCATACCCTCTTAAAAATAAAGGTGCTTCACAATGCCATAGAATAACCTTTTTTGTCTAAATGGTTTCATAAAAGGTTCTTTGTGGCGAAAGAAGGTTCTTCAGATTACAAAAAGTTGAGAAAGAGATGGTTCTTTAAGGAACCTTTGACTGAATGCTTCTTTGTGGAACCAAAAATGGTTATGTGAAGAACCTTTTTTGTCTAAATGGTTTCATAAAAGGTTCTTTGTGGCGAAAGAAGGTTCTTCAGATTACAAAAAGTTGAGAAAGAGATGGTTCTTTAAGGAACCTTTGACTGAATGCTTCTTTGTGGAACCAAAAATGGTTATGTGAAGAACCTTTTAAGCAACTTTAATTTTAAGAGTGTATGTCTTTCCCACTTTCAGTCTGTTTTTCTTAATTAGTAAAATGCAATTTTATAGGAGGAGTTGAATCATGTAGACAACAGGTTAAGTAAAAATATTAAAATGCAATAGCGCATAAATGCTCCTCTTTATAGTTATTTTTCTAGCTGACTGATGAGCTTATAGACAACGAATGGTTATTCTGAGGTAAATGTATATTACGTTGCAATGTTTACAAGCTTTACATGTTTTCTGCAGTTTGAAACACTGAATGAACTTTTACATTAGATATTTCCGTAAGTTGTACTGTAGGCTCTCTTATAAAATAGCCTACCTTTTGATGTTAATTCATGTTCATTATGTAGCCTACTATAGTAGTAAAGAGAAAGATATAATGGGTTCACTTGCCGCTTGAACTGAGGCGCTAAAGCGACCGCGCCTGCTGCATTAAAGAGTGCCAAAAACAAAACTGTATTTATTGTTTGTATTTCGTTATGAATTTTGAATCATTTTAAAGCTGATACTTTGTTTATTAAAAAGTAACAAAGCACAAAGCTTTTTGCGATTACTGGACGGCAAGTGTTGTTAAGAAATTAGTAATGATTATAAACGAGAATTGTTAACGATATTGCCAATATCCACACAGCTGACAGCTTTACCTGTTTACCTGTGTTCAAGATGTGCACGAAATAGACGCTGTTTTTCTGCACTTTCACTGCTTACGTCTCCATCATTTCGATCTCTCTCGCGCTGCACAACTGAGCTGCGTTTAGCAAGCTGTGTGCGACAATGCTGCTGTGCGGCAGAGATGAGGACTGTTTGAAAATATTTTTTCCACTAAAACTTTGATGCACATCATCTCAGTTTAATACGCGAACATAACAAAAGATGTGATCACAAAACAATCAGGAAAAAAGCATTAAATGCGAAATTTTAAGTTAGAACATGTAAATCATAGACTGTAAAAAAAGATGGACGACGCGTCTCCTATTCCTTCCACTATAGAAAAGTGAAGCCAAAGCATCTCAGTATGGCCGCTGCCATCTTGAGTAAATTATGTAATTTGGAGCCCGAGTCTGCGCAGTAGAGATTAGTTTGGAGCCAGAGTCTGCGCAGTAGAGATTCGTTTGGAGCCAGAGTCTGCGCAGTAGTGTCGTGAGGTGGAGCCGCGGTATCAAACTCCCGCAGACCCAATCAACCATAACGACACGCCCCGTTTTTATAGCATCAAATTACTAGCTAAAAACAACTGTAGGCTCTCTTATAAAATAGCCTACCTTTTGATGTTAATTCATGTTCATTATGTAGCCTACTATAGTAGTAAAGAGAAAGATATAATGGGTTCACTTGCCGCTTGAACTGAGGCGCTAAAGCGACCGCGCCTGCTGCATTAAAGAGTGCCAAAAACAAAACTGTATTTATTGTTTGTATTTCGTTACGAATTTTTAATCATTTTAAAGCTGATACTTTGTTTATTAAAAAGTAACAAAGCACAAAGCTTTTTGCGATTACTGGACGGCAAGTGCGCTTCAAATAATGAAATTCACGCATTAACAGAACACAGCATAGAAGATCTTGTTAAGAAGAAGCCATATTAGTAATGATTATAAACGAGAATTGTTAACGATATTGCCAATATCCACACAGCTGACAGCTTTACCTGTTGTACTTTGTTCAAGTTGTGCACGAAATAGACGCTGTTTTTCTGCACTTTCACTGCTTACGTCTCCATCATTTCGATCTCTCTCGCGCTGCACAACTGAGCTGCGTTTAGCAAGCTGTGTGCGACAATGCTGCTGTGCGGCAGAGATGAGGACTGTTTGAAAATATTTTTTCCACTAAAACTTTGATGCACATCATCTCAGTTTAATACGCGAACATAACAAAAGATGTGATCACAAAACAATCAGGAAAAAAGCATTAAATGCGAAATTTTAAGTTAGAACATGTAAATCATAGACTGTAAAAAAAGATGGACGACGCGTCTCCTATTCCTTCCACTATAGAAAAGTGAAGCCAAAGCATCTCAGTATGGCCGCTGCCATCTTGAGTAAATTATGTAATTTGGAGCCCGAGTCTGCGCAGTAGAGATTAGTTTGGAGCCAGAGTCTGCGCAGTAGAGATTCGTTTGGAGCCAGAGTCTGCGCAGTAGTGTCGTGAGGTGGAGCCGCGGTATCAAACTCCCGCAGACCCAATCAACCATAACGACACGCCCCGTTTTTATAGCATCAAATTACTAGCTAAAAACAAACTTATCACAAAACAAACAATTTAACATATATCAGCGTGACAACAACTACCTTAAATGACCAAAACCATCTTTCGGAAAATTGTATTGGAAGCGTAAATATCTTTTTTATTTTGACTCAAGTCCCATTTATTTACATGGAGAGGACGGGGTTTATGACCTGTACTGCAGCCAGCCACGAGGGGGCAATCAAAGAGCCCGCAGCTTCACTTTTCAGGACGTGTGAGGCACACCCAATGTAAATACATAGGACTAGTCGCCAGAGGCGACCTCAGCAAACTATATCTTTAGAGCAGTGGTTCTCAACCTTTTTTTCCACCGGGCCGTACTATGGTCCAAGTGCAAGTCTCGCGTGCCGCACGCATATCATTTACATATTACGTCAGCAATACAAACCAACCTGATTTATAATATTATAGCCTAAATATTATGATATCTAATCGATTACATTCATTGAAATAAATAAATAATTATACTCCCCATAAATAACACCCAATTTTGTGAATTTCGGCTCGAAAAAAGTAACGGCACAATCATAGGCGGAGTTTCACTTTTATGCGTGGGGGGGCACCCGCTGGCAGACGAGCCACGAGCACTTTTTTATATGTTCTACATTTCATGTATTTATGCAACATATTCTACATTAAAAAAATTATTTAGAATGAACAATAACTGCTGTACAAAGAGTAAAAAAAGAAAGAAAAAAAAAACACCTAATGCAGAAAAGCCGCCTCTTTTTCCGAATTGCGCAGATGAGAGATGACCCCTATTCATCTCTTCTGATAAATTTTCAGTCAAATCATTTTCTGTGTGCTAGATCAGAGCGAATCAACCAGAAGTTTGCATTTATTTGAGTGCAACGCCCCCATCTCAATATCCAATCATTGACCAATGTATAGAATAGAGCCCTGCATTTCAGGCCGGGCCCGACGGGCCCCGACTTTTTTCTTTCTTTCATCTCTTCTGATACATTTTCAGTCAAATCGTTTTCTGTGTGCTAGGTCAGAGCTAGAGCCCTGCATTTCAGCCCGACTTTTTTACGCCCCTCGGGCTGGGCTTCGGGACAATTTTCACGTCATAGTTCAGACGCGGGCAGGGCCTCGGGCCTGTTTTAGGCTTCTCCTTATTTTTATATTTTAGACATCCATCATTTAGTGATGAAAAAAGATTGCCGCGCTGGTGGAAAAACACCAGACCGTGCTACCGAGACCGTCAAGAGCGGCTCGACGGTGTTTAGTGTCCAGCAGCAGTAGCATGTATGGTGCGTGCCGTCAGCGCAGCTGAAGAGTTCTGCGTTCAAATGCACGCAATAGGCTTAAGTTTGCCACAAAGCATCAGCAAAAGTAATTACCATAAATGCATCAGGGTGAAACAGTAAGGAGATATTTGAATTATTTACTAATAAACTAGTGTTTTCTGAATCGGTGTCGCAAGGATGAGGTTATCGATCCTGACTCACCATCTCTTCATTAGACGCGCCTTTAGAGAGAAGTGCATCTTTACAGATTATGATCATAATGAAAGAGTTTTTGTTTTTAATTTGTTTTATTTTGTTAAGTAGTAATTTAAAGCTTTCTATAGATATATTTATCATGTCTGTGTCGGTTTATTTTTGTGAAGCCCTCCTGTTGAAGACAAGACGGCAGAAAGCACATCATGTTTGATTTCTTTATTTTATAAAAGCAC